AGTGGGTGCCTGTAATCTCAGCTACTTGGGAGGCTGAGGCAGGAGAGTCACTTGAACCCAGGAGGTGGAGGTTGCGATGAGACAAGATCATGCCATTGCACTCCATCCTGGGCAACAAGAGTGAAACTCTGTCTCAAAAAAAAAAAAAAAAAAAAGAATTATGCTAAATCTACTCTGTCTTTGCTGTATAAGTAGAATAAAAAAGCCAGGATGGCAGCACATCTGTTTACAGAGTGGTTTACTGAATATTTTGAGCCCATTACCGAGACCTACTGTTCAGAAAAAAAGACTATTTTCAAAATATTACTGTTCATTGGCAATGCACCCAAGGGCTCTGATGGAGATGTGCAAGGAGAGTAATGTTGCTTTCATGCCTGCTAACACCACATCCATTCTGCAGCCCATGGATCAAGGAGAAATTTCAACTTTCAAGTCTTGTTACTTAAGAAATACATCTCGTAAAGCTATAACTGCCATAGATAGTGATTCCTCTGATGGATCTGGGCAAAGTTAATTATAAACCATCTAGAAAGGATTTACCATTCTAGATGCCATTAAAAACATTAATGATTCATGGGAGGAGAAACAATATCAACATTAACAGGAGTTTAGAAGAAGTTGATTTCATTCCTCATGGATGATTTTGAGGGAGTCAAGCCTTCAGTGCAGGAAGTAACTGCAGATGAGGTGGGAATAACAAGAGGACTAGAATTAGAAGTGGGGTCTAAAAATGTGGCTGAATTGCTGCAATCTCAGGATAAAATTTGAACAGATTAGGAGTGGCTTCTTATGGCTGAGCAAAGAAAGTGGTTTCTTGAGACAGAATTGACTCCTGATGAAGATGCTGTGAACATTATTGATAGGACAACAAAGGATTTAGAATATATACACTTAGTTGATGAGGCAGTGGGTAGGGTTTGAGGGGATTGACTCCAATTTTGAAAGAAGTTATACTGTGGGTAAAATGCTATCAAACAGCATCACATGCTACAGAGAAACCTTTCATGAGAGGAAGATTCAGTCAATGCAGTCAACTTCATTGTGATCTTATTTCAGATATTGCCACAGTCACCCCAACCTTCAGCAACCTCCACCCTGATCAGTCAGCAGCCATCAACATCCAGGCAAAGCCCTCCACCAGCAAAACAATTGTAACTCACTGAGGGCTCAGATGATCATTAGCATTTTTAAAAACAATACAGTATTTTAAAATTGAGATATGTTCATGTTTTAGACATAATGCTATTGCATCTTAATAGACTACAGTATAACATAAACCAAACTTTTATAGGCACTGGGAAAACGAAATATTTGTGTGATTTGTTCTGTTGCAATATGAGCTTTATTGTGGTGGCCTGGAACCAAATCCACAGTATCCCCAAGGTCTGCCTGTAAGGTGAGGCAGCAGCCCCAGAAACTAATGCAGCCTGCCGGGTGCTCTGTGTTCCCAGCAAGCATGGACACTTCCCTAGATATCAGGGGAAGTGATACAAAGACAGAAAGTTGTGGTCATTTGAGAATCAACTCATAATAAAAAATAATGAAATATGGTTAATTGAAGTAAGTTGATTACAAATTGAAAATGATATTAGAAGAAAGAAGTTTTATACAAAGATGGTTGTGATACAAAAGAATATAATGACACATTTAATTTTATTGCCTTGAATAAATGAGGAATGTGGTTTTATTCCTTCCATTGTCTGCTTCTAAAGTATAGATATAAACTTTGTCTATCTGCAGTTGCAGATAAGAAACCTGAGAAGCCACAAGAAAGCCAAGTAGCCTAGGAAAAAGTGAGCATTGAGCCACGAGCAAAAAATAACAGTCGATCCTGTTGGTGCCACCTGACAGCAGAGACGGCTGAGGACCCCCGAGCGTGAGTCCAGAGAGCTGCCCGGCAGCCCCACCCTGCCTTTCCAGGATGAGTCTTCTCTGGGAAGCCACTGCTCATTTGGAAGGGGAAGAATGACAGCGTTTCCAACACCAACCCCAGCTCTGCTGACCTCTCAGAACGGCAGGACCACTCGTGACGGAACACCAGGCAGGGGAGAGTCAAATATACAAGGCGGGACGCCAGGCAGGGCCAGCATCTCCATCAGGCACATGAGGGCCCACGATACTTTTAGGAGCCCATGAAAATGTTTTAATTTCTCTTAAAAATCAGAAGGAAACAAATGAACTCTTAGGTGTAAGAAAATGTTTTAATATACACGATTGATATATCCACCTTCATACAAATGCAGTAACAAAACTTACATGTTTAAATTTTTTAATGGGAAAAAGCTCCCACAAAGGCAATGACAGTCATGATGTAGCCTGATGCCAGGTTGCAAAAAACTGAAACTTCTGTGAACGGCGTTCATTAGAAACACAAGAATGCTAATGTAGCATGTCAGGTTTAACCATAAAGGTTGAGTATGATGTCCAGTGCCTTGAGTTTAAAATGCCGGAGGAGGAGTAACCAGTGAGTAACACAGTTTCCGCTGTCACACTCACACCCATAGCAAGACGAACCACAGGATTTCTGTTTTTAAAGCAGGGAAACAAGTAAAATACAATATAGTAATTATAGTAATAATTGTAGGAAAATGTAAAAAATATAGAATAATGAGAAAATGGTTAATACTGTAGAGTAGGTTCAAATTGGAGGTCTGTAAGAAGTCGGTGATAATCTGAATTGTTTCGTTCTGTCTCTTGTATAAAGTATTTGTTCAAAAATATCAACCATTCTAAACGTATAATTGCAGTATTAAGAAAACTTAGTTAGAATCAATCTTTAAGTGCTCAAGAAAAGGTAGTTTCAAAGGTGAATTTGATAAACTGAGCATCAGACAGAGTCGTCAGTTTTGGGAGTCAGCCTCTATGTTGAAATCCCTTTCACTTTAGCACCAATAATCAGAGTTCACGAGGCCACTCTCCACATTCTCACCTCTTCGTTTACTCCAGAGCCTCCGAGGCTCCACTCTCCACTCTAGCTGCTGGGGAGCGAAGGTGAAGGTGACTGAGCTCCATCCTCAATGTGTTGTCTAGGTGGGGACAGGCAGGTCTGCAGGTCATTGGGGTACAGTGTGAGGAGGACATGAGGAGTGCAGGGTTCAGTGAGCACTTGGGGGCCTTAGCCTGGGGGTGGGGGAGGGTGAGCCAAGGAATGTTTGCGGAAGGAACGGTGAGTCGGAGGAAGTCGGGTTAACCTAAGGGAGGGCCTTCTGCATGATGTGGGCTGTGGGGAGCAGGAGAGAAGAGGCGGGAGAGGCTGCACCTGACGGCGATGAAACTTGGGGCCCGTGCTCTGAGAGGACCTGTGCTCCTTAGGAAAACATGGAGCCCTGCAGGACTCCACGTGCAGAGAGAGGAGGGCTCCATCCAAGACTTCCTTCAGGAGCAGCACCTGGGTGGAATGGACGGGACGCCTCTGTCCTGCTCCCTTCTCATCCATCCCCACAACATCCCTGAGCCGTGCAGGGGATGAAATGTTACCCACTTAGGGAAAAGGAAGTGGGGGACAGCTGAAGATTTTTTCCAAGGTGGCAGTAGACAGTGGCCCAGATAGGTGTGACTCATCCCATCTCCCAGCCCTTTATACTCTGTCATTGTTTTGTGATGGTCTTAATGCTACCTTTTTGAACAAGTAAATGTGCTTGTTTACAATTTGTGCATAAATGTGCCTGCAAATAGGTTAATAGAGACCCCCTCCTCAAAATTAATGTAATAAATATAATCGGATTGTACATCTAATAAGAAGCCTTCGGGAGATTGTTAAGAACTAAAAGTAAATTCTGACTTTTTGCAAATCAGTATGAAATGTTGTTTTAATAAGCTTGTACTGATTTCCAATATTGCAGAATGTATATTCCATGAAGGGCTTCCCGCACATGGAATGTATTAATTTCATGTGCACACTGAATTAATCTTATTTGGATGACAGATTTTGGACCCGTCACTATTGGAGAGTGTACTGCAGATGATATTTAATGAAAACTTCCAGTCAGGCAGGTGATCTGATGCCTGCGCATGGCTTCCTGATAAAATTGCGTGTTTGTTTCTTCCCCGATCTCCCACAGATAAGGAGAAGTGCATTTTTTCAGTACAGCCGTGTATCATTTTGTTTGCTTCAGTGACAATTTTTAGTATAAGCTGATTTAAAACAATCAAAGCAACAGGCAAGTCCATTCTTTCAGCCAAACCCAAAATAGCTTTTTAAGAATGGATTTGTTTTGCCGTTAGCATTCATCTGAAAACAAAAGGCCTCCATCCACTGCAATCTTAGTAGACTTCCTTTTTTTCCTTCAAAGCCAGATAGCACATGGTTCTTGAGTTACTTTAAGTAGCATTACCAAATATTGAGGACTACGATGATGCGTGCACAGTATTAAGGTTAAAATAATCCCTGGCACTAAAATATGGTATTGTAGTTCATAAAAACATGAGTACATACTTGAAAAAATTAAATAACTATGCATCTTCTGATAAGATTTTCAAGAATTTATCTCTTTCCAAAATCACGTTTGGGGGCATCTACATTTCAGTATAAAAATTAGATGAATGCCAGTCTGCTTTTGTATTTCTAGGTGGCTTGCAAAACAACAAAAGAAGTAAGTAACTGGTTATCATTTTTATATCGGGATTTTAAAAATCTCAAGTTTCAGGAGGCAACATGCTCCCCAGGCCGCGACAGGCCATGATAACTGCACTATTGGAGCCCTGACCTGACTTGGACGCCACTTGAGTATCCTTGTAGTGACTAGAATTGTCTCCCTCTTGTCCCAGTGAGGACAGGGGTGTCGGTGAGCAGAGGTGAACTGTCCAGGCTGAGCTTCTGTAATGCTGGAGATATGAGCCGTGCCTGGGGTGGGCCATAAAGGGGAGAGGGGCTCAGCACTTTGTGAATCAGCTGGTCCAAGGGCACTTGCTCTGCAGAGACCTCCTGGGTCCATCATAAGGCAGAAATGGCCCCTGTGATGATCAAAGAGGGTGCAGTGTTGCTGGGGGCACTGGAAATCTTTCTTTTGTGAGCCTCCTGTTATCTGATGGGTGCTGCTCTAACCGTGTTTCCTAAATAGAGAAGAGAATGTCCTTTCCTTTGCAATTTCTAGATAACTTGGGTAGTCCTAAAGGTTTAGTGGTTCTCCAAGATCATTTGGGGCAGCTAATATATTATTAGTTTTTGTCTGTTTTAGCAAAAAACTGCAATTGGCGTTTCCCATGTGATGTTGCGTGTTGAGGGCTCATCTGTTTCTCATCCAGGATGATGTTTCCAGCTTCATCTTTGATCTTAACCCTCCCGGAGGCATACTTGGTTTCCTGACAGCCGCTGCAATACACAGTCTTGACGGTGCCATCTGGGTACTCCCTTCTCTTGAACTGGGCCGTGTGGATTTCTTTCTGCCCGTTGCTGAGCACAATGGTTTTGTCGCCATTCCTGAGAAGAGAAACACGTGGAAGGGCAGTGTGCACCAGGGCCAATGCTGCTAGTGTGGAGGCCAGTGGGGAGTGGGGGAGCACAGAATAATGTCCCCACCTGGGTCTGGAGCCCTCCTTCCAAAGCTCATTAGATGAGGGTGCAGAAGGCCACGGGCAGGGGCAGGAAAGGTGCACTGTGGGCTCAGGGCATCAGGAGAAACTTGGTGTGGGTGAGAGAGGGCAAGTGTGGAGGACCAGGAGGCAGGGCGGGAGGTTAGCCGCGTCTGCTCACCTGCAGGCTGAAGCCTGTGCTGACAGCTGGCTCTGATGGTGAGAGGGATGGTAGGGTTAACACAGGGAGTGACAGGGACACACATAGAATCATTTCAGAAAAGTGGTCCGGGAGGTGACAGGGAAGATTCTGACTGCTGTGAGGAAGCTGGGGGAGTCTATTGTAATTGCCCAGGAGAGAAATGGTGAGAGCAGGAGACCACAGAACTCAGAGAAAGGGCGGAGGCGGGGCAGCGAGGAGACACAGCCCACAGCGCTCACTTGGTCGTCACTTGGATATCAGGAAAGAAAGGAAAGGTCTAAAACAACATCCCACACTCTCCCTTGGGCAACTGGGTGGATCTTTACTTTCTGCACAAACTAGCGTTGAAATAGCAGCTCTGATGAGCTCTTCCTTGGTGTGCCTTAAACATTTGCTTGCACATGTTCTGCAATAGACTCGGGCTTCTAGACCACTGGTCTGAGGTGAGCACTGAAGACTGAAGTGATTTTTACAGTTATAATTCAAACAACAGCTAATGTTGGTAAAGTAAATATGTAAAAGTCCATTTGAAACCCACAGTCTCTATAAAGGGATTCAAATCAAGGTCATAAAACAAAACTTCTGAAGTCAATGACATTATTTTCTTTTTTTTTATACAAACACTTAAATGTTTTAAAAATCTAAATTAATATAAGGAAATTATTAAATACACAAACAAAAACTGGGGATATTTCGGGTTCGCATTGTCTGACATTACTGACCTTTCCACTCTTACGATTGTCCCATCAGGAAATAAGGTCTCTTCCTGTCCATCCTTGAGATGTTTCACTGTCCCGTCGGGAAACACAATTTCTTTGGAGCCATCAGGGTAGAATTTTTCTGCAGAATGCAGTTTTTAAGTGTATGTTACATTGAATCTGTTTAGAAACATGTTCTATCCAAATAATCTATAAAATGTTCATGAGATTTGTAGAGTATTTTCTAATCATCTGGCTTTATAACTAGGGTTGCCAGGTATAATTGAATTTTAGATAAATGATGAATCATAAATAATTTATTTTTATTATTATTATTTTTTTGAGACAGAGTCTCACTCTGTTGCCCAGGCTGGAGGGCAATGGCACAATCTTGGCTCACTGCAACCTCCACCTCCCTAGTTCAAGCGATTCTCCTGCCTCAGCCTCCCGAGTAGTTGGGATTACAGGCATGCGTCACCACGCCCGGCTAATTGTTGTATTTTTAGGAGAGACAGAGTTTCGCCATGTTGGCCAGATACTCTCAAACTCCTGACCTCAGATGATCTGCCTGCCTCAGCCTCCCAGGGTGCTGCGATTACAGACGTGAGCCACTACACCCGGCCAAATGATGAATACTTTTTAACATAAGTATATTTCAAATATTGCATGGAACATACTTTTATATCAAAAATTACTTGCTCTGTATCTGATATTTCAAATTCAGTGAGGGACTTGAATCAATATATTTGTTAAATCTGGCAACCCTACTTATAATAACAGTTTAAGGACTTCAATACTATATGAAAATACTCAAGAAGAAAAACT